ACAAGTTAGGTATCAGAGTGTTGATGGATAAGGACTCTGGTTTTTACAGATCACCAATCAACATGCAGTTCAAGGGACATACCTGGATAGGTCTGCAGAGGCTGGCAGTGCCACTCTCCAATGCCCCGGCCATAGCAGTAGCACTGGTACCTGACATTGTGCACGTACTTCTCCCATGAGTCTCCGATTTGGTAAAAGGTCTGGGTTTCTGAGTCCTGGCACTGGTCTAGAATGCAGACAAGGGAAAATGAAGCAACTTGTGAAGACTTAAAGTCAAGATGTAAAAATCCTTTCTTTCAGCCTTTTTTTCAATAGCTATTCCTTGCTGTTTAAATGTGGTGCACACGACTTTATAGCCTCACAAATCTGTTATCCCAGTATAATCTGCAGTGTTCTAACTAAAGTTACTGACTTGGTCTTAAATGCACAGATTTTGTGTCATGTTTGCTTCATGAATCGGATTCACTAGAGTATTTTTCTTCTCCCCTTTTTAATGCGTGTTGTCCTAATTTATGTGTAGGATCACTACATTGGTTTCCAGTACGACACATGTAAGGTACACAATTGTGTGAAGAAAGTAAAAAACCTTCGTATGGAACATTAATGAGGGACATCTTTATATTCTGTATAAAAACAAAATCAAATTTATATACTAAAATCATTTGTCTAAAATTTTAAGTTGTTTTCAAATAAAAATGCATTTCTGATATGCAAAAAAAAAGTCAAGATGTTCATTTCAGCTCACTAGAGCCTGCGCACATAGCTTGATCAAAAAAACTCACAACTCTCCTTAAAATAAGAGGAAGTAAAAAAATATATTTTCTGCACACTCTTATTTTAAAAAGGCACACTCATTGGGAGGAATATTTAATTTTTTAAAAGGGCATATATTATAGTTCAAAATAAAAATGTAAATATTTTATACATCTTAGAGAGCTCTGGTGACCTAATGCTAAGAAGCTGCACTGCAATCCCAAAGATACACAGTTCAAATCCACCAGCTGCTCTTTGGGAGAAGGATGGACAATCTCCTCCCGTGTGATTACTGCCTCTGAAAAACCACTGGAGGGTCAGTTATGGGTCGGTTCTGACTCAACAGCAACAACAACAACATCTTACATATTAAATATATTTTTATACATATTAAAACACAAAATGTGATATATATATATCTCTACTTTTTTCCTTTAAGTGCCAAATCTTTTTTTGTGCACAATCAAGTGTATTATTAAAATTATATTAGTATAGCAAATATGAACTGGAGAAACTAGATATATTTTGAACCCAAGGTGCCCTGACAGCAGAGTGCATTATATGTTGGCCTGTTAATTAATGGTCAGCAATTTAAATCTCCCAGTGACTCAATGGGAGAAAGAGAAGCACTTTAAGGTTAACAACTTCAAGGGGAGCTCTGGTGGTCTAATGGCAAGGAGCTACTACTACAATCACAGAGGCACA